GATAGTTTGAGGGAAAGCGAATGTATGCCTGAAAGGTTTTTTCTCCTGATTCTATCTGCTGACTAGTTAATAAAAATAATAATTATGATGATGATGGTAATGATAAAAATAACTCTGCCTGCAAACTACATCTCCCTTTGAACAGGACAGTGACTTTTAAGACATTTTGTTGCTCATCTACGCTTTTCTTGAAAGCTATAGAGTCTAGTGTTGATGTGAAAATGTCATTGCATGTTATTAAGGGAAAACTGAATTATAGCAGCGACAATTAAGAGAGCCTGAAAATGTGTCTATTAAACTCTGCTTTACACTTCACATTTGGTTGAACACCTCTCAAGGGTTCTGCCTGAGCAAAGTAATTAAATTTGTGCCTAATTTTAAGGTTATGCTTAAAGTTTTAAAGTTAAAAGGAAATACGTGCTCAACAGATTTGGTCATTTGTACTTCAGAATAACCTTTAATTGAACTATTTGAACCTGAAGTTTCATCCCTTCATTTTTTTTTTAGTATATGTTTTTAATATCCTAGTTTGTCAAAGTCCTGACACCATCCGTCATTACCATAGTATTCAGATGCTTTCCATGTTTCACTTTGACTGCCTTCTTTGTACAGTACTTTAGTAGCTAACTGTTAAGCAAATGATTTTTGAAGGCCTAGGTTTCTGTCTGTTGGCTGTAAACAAAAGGTGGAAGAAATGTGCCACATCTTCATCCTTATGAAGGAAATGTGATTGAGTTAGGAGAGGAGAATTACTTATAGAAAGCCTCAGCTGCGCATTGAGATGCTGAATCGGATGACTGATCAACTTTACAGAGGGAACCAAGATTTTTAATCTGACCAACATTTCAACAGGATTCCAGTGGAGAAAGCCCAGGGCATGTTGGATGTGTTCATAGTAGCCTCTCAGGAGAGAATCTGCAGTATGCTGTTCTATGTGCTAGCTCAGGATGCACAAAACCAGTGAGCCTCCTGCCCAGGTACTGGGGCAGTGATAAAAGGGGACAGATACAAGTCTTTGCCTCCAGGTTACGCCGTAGTCTAGACAGGTTAGGTAAAGTCTGTTCACCAGTGAGCTTTGCTCAGTAAGGAGCCTGGAAATAGTTCCTCATGGAACCCATACAGTGGTTTTATCTTTGAGTAGGAAAGTACCTCTCACTAGTACTTCACTGTGATAGTGAACATGAACACAACCAGACATTACTGTCTTCTAGCATTTTATAATGCACTGGGAAATTCAGCTTTAAAGGAAGTTTAATGTGCTCATTCTTAGTGTATTGTACAAAGTCCAGAAATAGAGTGCCAACAGTAGTAATTCAATCACTTAATTTTACAATCAGGGCAATGTTTTTTGTAGCTCTTAATTTAAAAATATATCTAACATAATGGCTGTCCAATATTTCTTCTCAGGATTTGCTTGCCTAGAAGCTGGTGAAAAAGCAGGTGTTTCTGAGCATCTGGATGCCTCCTGCCTTCTTGACCATGTGCAGTTCAGAAGGGAGCATGAGACTTTGGAGGACTATGCATTTGTTTCATAGAATCATAGAATAGTTAGAGTTGGAAATAACATTAAGATCATCTAGTTCCAACCCCCCTGCCATGGGTAGGGACACCTCACACTAAACCATCTCACCCAAGGCTCTGTCCAATCCGGCCTTGAACACTGCCAGGGATGGAGCATTCACAACTTCCTTGGGCAACCCATTCCAGTGCCTCACCACACTCACAGTAAAGAACTTCTTCCTTATATCCAATCTAAACTTCCCTTGTTTAAGTTTTAATCCATTACCCCTTGTCCTGTCACTACAGTCCCTAATGAAGAGTCCCTCCTCAGCATCTTATAGGCCCCCTTCAGGTACTGGAAGGCTGCTATGAGATCTCCAAGCAGCCTTCTCTTCTCCAGGCTGAACAGCCCCAACTTTCTCAGCCTGTCTTCATACAGGAGGTGCTCCAGTCCCCTGATCACCCTCGTGTCCCTCCTCTGGACTTCTTCCAACAATTCCATGTCCTTTTTGTGTTTAGGACACCAGAACTGCACACAGTACTCCAAGTGAGGTCTCATGAGAGCACAGTAAAGGGGCAGGATCACCTCCTTTGACCTGCTGGTCACGCTCCTTTTGACGCAGCCCAGGATACGGTTGGCTTTCCGGGCTGTGAGCACACACTGAAGCCGGCTCATGTTCATATTCTCATCGACCAGAACCCCCAAGTCCTTCTCCGCAGGGCTGCTCTAAATCTCTTCTCTGCCCAGCCTGTAGCTGTGTCTGGGATTGCTCCAACCCAGGTGTACGACCTTGCACTTGGCATGGTTAAACTTCATGAGGTTGGCATCAGTCCACCTCACTCACAAGCATGTCAAGGTCCCTCTGGATGGCATTCCTTCCCTCCAGCGTTATCAACCGAACCACACAGCTTGTTGTCATTGGAAAACTTGCTGAGGGTGCACTCTACCCCACTGTCCATGTCAGCGATAAAGATGTTAAATAAGACCAGTCCCAACACCAATCCCCATGGGACACCACTCGTTACTGGTCTCCAGCCGAACATTAAGCCATTGACCACAACTCTTTGCATGCTGCCATCCAGCCAGTTCTTTATTCACTGAGTGGTCCATCCATCAAATTGATGTCTCTCCAATTTAGAGACAAGGATGTCATGCGTGACAGTGTCGAAAGATTTGCACAAGTGCAGGTAGATGACATCAGTTCCATAGCCCCACCATAGGAGGCCACCAAATTGGTCAGGCAGGATTTCCCCTTAGTTAAGCCATGCTGGCTGTCACCAAGCACCCTGTTGTTAATCATGTGAACAGAGAAGTGACTATTTGTTCTTCAGCCTAATATTGTTCTGATAATCCTTGTAATTACTGCCTTGAGACTGGTTTCCTATTTTTGCTTTGTGGTAGGATTCCATGCCCCACAATGTTAGGGGAGTTTGTGGACCCTGTGGCCCTGAACCTGGTTTGCACAGAAGTTGCAAAGAGGTTGTAATCAGTCTGTCAGTCTTCAGAGTGCAGTGGTGATACTAAAGAGGCTGTATAACAACTTGGATAGCTATCAAGTGCATTTATTCTTCGTGTAACTCTTCCTAGGATCCTACAAAATAATTGACTTCATATGAGGGACAAATTGTAGCCTGAACTCTGAAGTGTACTCTCATTGCAATGTCTGCCTAACTAAAATTTACCAGATTATTTTTCATCCTCTGTGTTTCTTGGCTAAGAGTCTTTTGATAGCATGGTGTTTTGATGAATAATATGTTTGGATGAATGTGACAAAAGACAGCTTTTGTGAGGCTTACTTCAAATTGAAATATAGTATTTTTGATCTTGTTTGTTCTGCTGTGTTCATAAACCCATTAGGTTCTAAATCAAATGTGTAACAATCCAGCCTAAAAGTTACAATTAAATGATCACTTTATCTGTCTTTTCTGTTGTATAATCCATGAAAGCTTCTATTTGATAAACAGTACAGCTGTTAATAATGTAATGGCTATAAATAGGAGCCAAAAGAATGACAGGACAAGATGTTTGCTTGCATGTTAATGAACACGCACTGTATGGGTAACTGGGTTACTTGGGAGAGGGTGAGAGTGAAATGAAACCTTCACCATACACTTTACATCTAAACTTTAAAACCTGCAAAGGTGTAAATGGCAACCTTTCACTGAGTATGCCAATGGTCTGTGGATGATTTTGCAGAAGACACGGTGTCATAGCTGATTCATGTCTGCTTTTTCTAGCCAAGAGTCTATAATGCACATTATAAATCAGTATCTGATAATGTGTTAGACTGATGAAGGGACTGTGCTTTCGAATGTATTTGGACAGAGCGAGACAGAAACACAGAGAAATCCAAAAACTGTTGTTGTGCAGAGGTATAAATGTGGAACTAAATTAAATGGGAAACTGATGGAATGGCTGTAGGTTTACACCAGAGCACTTGAGAGCATAACATGTCCCAGAAGCTTTATGGTTACTGGCTTGCCCTTTCATGGATGGGGGTGGGGGGGAGGGAGGAGGCAGAAGACAGTAGTGGGGACCTGGTGACAGTCAAGAAAATGTAAGAAAAATTCTTTGGGCTGCTTTCAGCTACGTTTAGATTATTATGTGTATTAGCTTACAATACTTATGTGTATTAGCTTACAAATATTAGCTTACCTCCTCAGAAAATAAAAAGGATTAGCCTCAGAAGAGAAGGATTTGTCCCAGGCTCAGAAATCCAGATGGAGAGTTCACATTTCAACACTGGACTATCTAGGTAGTTACAGGGTTCTTGTCATAGACGAATCAAAGCACCTACGGATATTTATGTTGGTTGACAGTGCTCTAAAATTAAGCTGTGCCCTAGTCATTAGGAGCTATTTAAATGTCAGACTTTCTAAGTGTTCCTCACCTGAGCACATAGGCTAAATTTGACATGACTGTTCCTTCAGCTTTTTTTTTGTGTGTCTTATAAAAATAATAACATTATAATCAGAAATCTAAAAGTTGTTCCATCCGCGGCAATTGCCAAAGAGTCAAGAACCAGCTGGTTGCCAGGGCAACAGTGAGAGCACGCTGTGCAATACCCAAGGAAAGGCTTCTGCTGACTGTTGCTTTGATAGATAGATGGTGTGCAAGTTAATTTTCAGGGGCTATTTAAAATACCTTGCTGATCTAATTGTCTAAAAATCTGGCAAGAGACATTAAAATTACTGGAGTGGGCTGGTGTTATAGGGTTGTATACTATTTGCCTCCCCTTCACTGTGCAAATATGAAGTTTCATTATTTATTGTTTTCACTCTGTATCTCATTATAAACATTAAAGAGGTTTTTTTTGTAAGTCTTCCTCTGGAGATCACTTCTTTCAGACACTTCTGGGGGCCTACAGCCGTGCAAATCAAGTTCTATTCCTACCAAGCAAAATGATGTCAGGCACCATGGAATCACAGTGCTGCTGTGTGTTGGAAAGCCAGGGCTTTTGGTCCTGCCTGTTCTGAACAGGGGACAATGAGTGTGAGTGGGGAGGAGGAGGAAGATCTCCAGGGCAGAGGCACATTGGTTGTAGGCAGCAGAGGAGAGGGAAGTGTTCACCCCTTCTCAGCACTGTGCCCCACGCAGCCCTAGAAAGCCTGATCTGCATATGAGGAGCTTAAGTCACCTTCAGCATCATGAGGTGTCGTGCATGTCAGAGAAGTGCCTTACCACTGGCTGACCAGGAAACTTTCCTCATTGTGACTATAAGAGGCTTAAATTAATGCTTACAACTGAAATGACATTTATGCTAAGGATGGAAACATTAAGTGGACTTTGCCTGTTTTAAAATAACGTGGATGGTAATGGGGATGCAATGGCTTTGAAGGCAAATTTGCATTAAAGGTTAGTGTACCATCCCAGGTGGCAGCTATTTCACTCATTATCCGCAGTCTGTGACTGCCAGCATTGTAATATTGTACTGCAGTTTTGACATACCAGTATTAAGCAAGAAATCATGCTATGCACTGCATCCATCTCCTTCTGTGGGGGTTCAGTCTGAGGGGCAGAAAGACCCCCAGAGTCAGTAACCACTCAGCTTTCCAGGTATCAGAAATACAGAAGACACTGCTTTTTAACCCATACAGTTGGTGCTCTGACCCTGGAGCATCTGTAACTAGTGTTGTTGTCATGCTTAAATGGCCACATTGCAGAAGTGGTGCCTTATGAAGAGAAATGCTCCCAAGCTCTTCCTCCTGGAAATCTCCTGGAGAATGGGACATTCCCTCGTGGTGAGTCTCCTGCTCCAATTAACTTCACCTTGGCCTCAGGACTCCTTCCCTAGTTTCTTTCAACCTCAGCTCTTCCTTTCTCTGTTTTGCTCTGGTCCCCTGTTTTCAGGGGATTTAGTCACAGTGATCCTAATATCTACCGTATAGGGCAGCTTAGAACATCCATGTGGGCATTCAAGACAGAGGACCAGTGTTTCCTTTCCTGCTCTGGAAAGAATACATCTGAATTGAGGACACATGCAAAGGATGAAGCTGCTATTAAAAGTGACACATGAAGTATTTTTGAAAAATGTGGCTTTTTATGTCACCTTAACTTGTTTAAGAAATGTCTGGCCATGTTTTTAAAACATATTTTCTCCTCTCTTCCCTGGTTCTTCTGAAGAGCAGTGTGAGTGGGAGTGTTGAACGGATTTGATCTCACTTTAGAGGGAGAGTGTTACATCTTTAAAGAGGCTTTTTTTTTTCTCTAGAAAGGTTAATCAGCCATTGAAGTTCAAGCAGTGCTAGTGAAAACCAAACTGTAAAGACTGACTGTAATTTTTATGAGTGTATTGACAGATCTGGTAAAAGAAATCATAGTCACAATGCAATTGTGGTGCTAATATTTGCTCTGTGACATGTCTAGAAAACTGGGTGAAATGCACGGTGGCTTTGTGTCATCTTTAATTGTAGTTTTAAATGGAGGTGTGAGTAGCCATTGACACAAGGGTTGAAAGCAGCTTTATGGTGATTTTTGTATCAAACCTTTTGAACCAACACCATGTCAAGCCACCTAAACAGTTCTTGCAGTGAAGCTACCTTTCTCATGTCCTCGTGAATTCTTAATGTTTAAGTGTATATGATGAAAGGGACTCCTAGCTTGTGTTTCAGGAGGTCTTCACCTGTTGAAAATACAACGTATCAGAAATTTATGGTTTATGATGTTATCTTACAGAGCTTGTAATACTAGAACTAAAATTTCCTCTAGTAACCTTCCAACCTAGGTTTTATTCTTTGTTTTTTTATTTCTACCCATGACTCATGAGTGCTTGCTGGGAGGTGGGAGTATGGAAGTACACTGCTCTCCAACGTTCATTTGTTCTAAAATAACTTACTGAGAAGAATTGCTCCAGCTTGACTCTGTCCTCTGCTTCACTGTGTGTGACCAGCATCTCCAAGGACAGACATTTGTGTAAGGCTGACCATTAAAGTTAGAAAGTCCAGTTTAAGGGAATGAAGTGCCATTTTGCTTACCCCTGACATGGTTCTATATTACACCAGATTGAGAATAATTCATAGCATATAGCACTTTCCCTCTCTTCTCCCATGCAGAGTGTGTCCTGCCAGCCGCTCCACCAGAGGAGAAGAAATGGACAATTATTTACTATCAAAGTTAACAGCCAGCTTGAATAAAGGATGTGTTAGAATTTCTCTGGCCCAGTGTTTGCAAGAACCTGTCACAAAAGGCAGCGTTTTCTCAAAGGCCTGGCTGTCACAAAAGAAAGAATAAGATGGCATGCACAGCTTATGTGACTTAGCTGTCACAATTTGCATGCAAACAAAAAAATCTTGTATTCTATTGTAAGAAATATTATTTGTGCAATGAAGCTAATAAGTACATATCAGAAAGGTTTCATTTCTCCCAGAGATGAAGTAAAACATTGCTTACAATATACACCATGCCATGGAAAGTGGCTTCTGTAAAAAGCCATGCACAGTAGAAACATTTCTTCTATGAGAACACACTGTACAGCAGAGGAAATGCCAACTGTGCTGGTGGTATCCAGGCCCTGAAGCCAGATCCAGCTGTACATGACTGTACAAAAAACAGTTTATAGATCACAGAAATGGAGCTGGAGGCATTTACAAGAGCGGTAAGGTGAGGAATGACATCTCTACACCATTAAATATCATGCTATAGCTATTACTCTTAAACAATGGCATGTGTGACCCTCCTGTCCCCACTGCAGATTGAATGTTTTTATATGAGCAAGAGTGCAGTGAAATCAAGGAACTGACATGCTTTCTGAGAAATGTCACTGGCAGCCAGCCCCTGAGAGGGGGAAAGTAATGTGGGGGATGGCAAAAACATTAGTAGAAAGGTATGTCTCAAACGTGGAACATAGATGTCTCAACCAGCACTGCTAAGAGATGCTTCTCTTCTGGCTCTGAAAAGCAACTCAAAATGCTTTTTGTCTTGAGAACATGGCAGAGCATGACCATCCTTGAAAGTGATAGTGATGGGTGTGATGTCATTGCTTGTGGACAGGGAACACAGCCAGGAAGCCAGGGTATGGTTCTTTACATACTCTCAGGGATTCAGACTTCGACCTCCTCCCTTGAGGCTGTCTCAGTTCACAGGGCAGGTTAAGAAAGAAGCTCTTCCTTCATTTGAAGCTATGTCCCTCCATGAAGGAGAATAACCAACTCACTGAGTTGGAAAAACATGCCTTGAACCTGGGCCCTCCTTTGGGCTGGGGAGAGGTCAGTGTCAGTGTGCACAATCTATCATGTTTTTGGTCTGAATACATAGAACCCACTGCCAGTGGGTCTATTACCATAAAACTCCACTATTGATATGGTAAAGACATTTTACCTCTGGTAATTAAAATTTAAGCTGTGTTGCCTCTATTTTTATGTTCTTTTCTAACCCACTTCTTTTGCTATTTGGGAAGCACTCTGTCTGGGGTGTCCCTGTCTTTACAAGTAAATCATTTTATATTTTAATTGTTTTCTGTTATAATTGTGCCTGGCATCAAAAGCAGCACACAGATACATGAGTGTATAGCTACCCACAGTGTTTGTTCTGTGCAGTAGTGCACAGCTTTGAACAAGGTAAGAAGATAAGGAATCAAGTGGCATTAGGTCGTATCTTGATGCACAGATTATGCCAATGGAGTGACCTTGACCTCTTCAGTATGTATTCAAATACAAGACAAAATAGGGGAACATAGAACTTAAAATTAGGGTATGATTTTAAATTTCACATCCCAGGCTACGAAACATCATAAATTTGACATGAGAAGTCCACAGAGAACTTAAGTGTTTTGGAAAAGGTCTATCTAGGCTTGACTTGCTAATATGAAGCTTAGCAACACATGGAGAAAGGGGGGGTGAGTGTCTGGAGAAGGGCTTGTGGGCTAGCTGTGACAAATTTAGCAGCCAGAAGGTCTTTACCTGTCAGCTTCTGAGAAACCCTTGTAAGTGTATAAAAAAAAAAGAGTTCATTGGTAGCATCTTTTCCCCATTCCAGCACTCCTTTGGCTTGGCCTGACCAATGAGACCCCTTGTCACACATGGTGAGCCAAGGGCAAGCTAGTGTTAATTAAACCGGTATCCTGCAGCAGTGGGAAGGGAGTCAATATTGAGAATGGCCATGTGCTGACAGACTAGAAACCCATCCAACTTTAGAGTTACCTGTCAGTGAGTATAAAGATGGATTGAATATTTCTTATGTTCTCTTCTCTCACTGGTGGCTCTGATGCAAACATCTATATATTAAAGCAAATATATGCATATAAGGTGGTGCAGGCTGAAAATTTTTTTACAGTGTCGATGACCTCACATAGAAGAGTTAAGTCATGTGAAAGAGCATTTGCTATATGGGTAAGCATAAGGCATATATGTAGTGTATATAGGTTAGAAATACTGTATAGGTGTACACCCGGGAAGGCTCAGACCAAAGGGTGCATATCCTTCTCTACTGTGCATCACCAGAAGTGAATATGCAGAAAAGTTAAAGGAAAATGTATGCTGCACCTGTATGCAATAGAGTAAGTTGGTAGAAAGCAGGCTGTGAGAGGATGGAAAGAAACGCTAAGGGTCAGCCTAGCTATTGTGTTCAATAGTACTATGGGGAGGAATGGAGGTCACTTATTGATCCAAAGCTGAGAACCAGCACAGCAAGGCAAATAGAGTGTGACTCCCAGTACGAACAGCAGCATCAAACTTAGAGAAAGGCTGCTTGTTTATTTGGAACTTTCTGTCTGAATGTAATAAACAAACCTCACTGGATAATGAGGAAACAGGTCCAGATTTTAATGGTTTGAAAGTGGTATTTTTAATGAGTGAGTGTTCCCCAGCAGCTTGATTAGATGTCTTATAAGACTGCAGCAAGTCTAGTATAGTAGGGATACATGTTCTGGTGATACAAATAATCATATATTTCAGTGACTTAGAATTTTTTTGTATCAGTACTTTTTGCTTTTCTAATTCCAAAAAGTAGACTTGGGATTAAAACCCATGTGTGGCAGCCAGCATTTCATTCTGCTCAGAGTGTTTTTCAGGCTGTGTGCTCACTTGTTTTGAAATAAACCAGCTGTGGTTTTGTCGTAAAGCAGAAACCCATCAAGAAAGACTAATTGATTCACCTTTTAATCAGGATGTTTATCAGTTCACTAACAGGAACTGTTTTGTCACCTCAGTAAATCTACCAAGCAGCTTGGCTATGAGGTGGAGAGATGTTTTTAGTTCATTTTTCTATGACATTAGAATAGCTTATACCTACTCCCTATGGAAAAATAATGTAATGCTGTGGTCTAATTTTAGCCTTATCACTTGTGATTTTTCTTCCCATTTTAAATGACAGACTGATGACCAGTTAGCATATTATACTAGACCCATTCTAGTGACCAAAATCACAGCAACCTTGCTCAGCATTTTCCATTAGTGAAGTGATTACAGAAGTTAATTCACTTAGTGTGCAGTACTGTTCCTGCCTCTTTAAAAGTAAAATGAATACAGTCATAACCTCAGAAGAATCAAATATGATCGTGAGCCTCCACTCCCACTCATTTCATAAGCTTGTCTCTTCAAACTATTCTTTTACTCTCCATCAAAATGCTATTTATTGTCTCTCTCTGTAGACACAGTTATTAGACATTTCATATATAATGCCTCATACATTTTCCCACTCACAGGGGTTTAAGCTGTCAGCTAGGGGGTTTGAATAGCGAGTAGGAATAGATGAAGCTAATAACATTAACACTACACTGGCATAATAAAAATTGTATTAAATGTCTTGAGATGTAAAATTATATAAAATACCTTAATGTGGGATGAATCGAAACTCTCTTTACCTTGTAAAGCTATTGTTTTTATAAACAAAAACGACCTTTTATTTAGCATATTAGGCTTCATGATTGTTTGTTGTACCTGGTGATTTCTTGCATTTAAGAACATTCCAACATCTTTTTTATCCCAAGACAACTAAGTAAACTCCCAGACTTCAGTTTCCTAGACATATTCAAATGAAGAATATTATGTTCCTTATTTAGCCTGAATTTTGGGTCGTTCATTACCTCTGGAAAGTGGGACATTCTGGCTTGACTGTTTAAATATTGATGTCAGAATCGAGCAGGTTGGTGTATTTCAGGTTTTGGTGGTGTTTTTGTCAAATGTGTGAAAAACTGGGACATTTTCAGGCATGCACTGCTTTCAGAAATCACACGTGTTCATCAGCCTACGTAGCTCCAGTCCAGAAAGGAATCT